GGTGTAGAGATTTTACACAAAACTAAATGATAACCATAAGAAGATAGACCCGTTAGTCAGATCTATGGTACGTGACTTGATATAAATCACAAGTAGGCTGAGACAAGCATGCAGATACGTGGATGTAGAGATCAGATAGGTATGAGGATGGTAAGGACATAGATGCAGGGGTGGGGGAGAGAGACGGAGGAGACAGAGAGAATCTCCAAAGTAATAATGCATTTGTTTCCTTTGACATGTTTGCACTAACACTAATTTCTCATCACTTACCTCCATCCCCAGGGTGTTTCAAAATTCCCCTGGAAAAGTAGCACTCCTCATTTGAATGCCCTGACTTATTCCAAAAATATGTCTACTACCATTGTACTTTTTAATGAAAACTCTTTCCAGAGTTTCATTTTACATAAAATTTAGGGTTCCTAACCCTTTCCTTCAAATCACTGACATCTTCCTCTAGAAACAGGTTGTCACGTCTACGTTTAAAATCCCTGTACCTAAACGGAGAAAAAAGGAATATGGTCACCTCACTCATCCACAGCTTTGCTTTCTGTGGACTCAGTTATTGTTAGATGTGATCTGAAAATAGGTGAGGACAGGACAAGAAGATGTTTTTAGAGAGAAGGAGTCGTTTAACTTTTACTATAACACATTGTGTAATTGTTCTAATTTATGATTAGTTTTTGTTGATGTCTTACGGTGCTCCATTTATAGATTAAACTTTACAACAGGTATGCATATAAATGAAAATCACAGCGTGCAGAGGGTTTGGCATTACCTGAGGTTGTGAGCATACACTAGGTTCTTGGGACATACCTCCACAGATAAGAGAGATGACTATTTATGGATAGCTTAGGTTCTTATCCCAAAATTCAGTTGCCTAATAAAGAACATTTAACTAAATTGCCATAAAAATGTTAAATATACACAAACTTAGTAGAACTAACAATAAACCTCCATAACCTACTCAAATAAAGTCCATTATTGGGATACTGCATAGCTCCGATCATCTGTCTCTTCTTTATGTTATGGCTGCTGAAATATTTTAAAGGTAATTCTAGAAATCATGTCATCTCATCACTCATTTTCCAGTAATAGTGGAAGAGTTGGTTGAGCTTGTTTTTTAAGGTATTCGTTCCCTCCTATATAAACAGCCTATTCACAAGCATCGACTTTATATGATTATTCTAATAGATGAATTGCCATATGAGAAGTCCCACAGAGTAGGATTCACCACTCTGCTGATCATTAGGATTTTAAATAACACTTTCATCATTAATATTTTAGTCCCTTGAACTATATAAATATTTGTTCTCTATTTAAATAGTATACATTGTATCTTAACACATGATAGATACTTCATTTTAATAGTGTTTCTGAATTTCTGAATGTTCACATATGTGACTAAAAATACTAAATGAGTTATCATATGCTGTAAGTATAATAGAAAGTTTTTGTGTTTTATTCTGGGAAATCTTACCTATTATTTTGCACAGGGTTACATTTTGAAAATGTTAGAATGCTGGAGAGCAGTTTTTAATTAAAATTACAATCATTCATGCCTGATGCCCTAGTTGTCCATCCAGCACACATGATGTAGTAATTCAGAAAGTATTTTTGATCTATTACAACAGTACAAGTATAAAACTAAACTGAAACTGCATACAGATACATCAATACACACAAACAAACAACAAACAAAAACATTAACTCTGTCCTCAAAAGGTTGCCGTTGAGGGGTCATTCTGTGCATTGTTACTGAATCCCCAATCCCCGTGAGTGTGGAAAAGATGTCTGAGCAGTGCAGAATTGCATTAGCACTCTGGTAATCTCCTGCCTCATAGAGGAAGTGCACTTCTCATAAAACAGGGCTACTGTGACTCATTGAAGAGGCTGAAATATTATTCAAGTAAATACGATAAAACAATCAAGAAATCTAAAATATTTATATTCTAATGGATTATAAAACCACATAAAATGGTGTAAAATATATTGTTATTAAAACTTTGGAGCCAGCAGATGGTGTAGGGGTTACATCACTGGACTCCCCATATAACCAACAACAGTTCGAGTCCCAGACACAGTGGCTTGAAAATCACACCAGGCGTGTGTGTGCATGTGCCCAAGATCCCAGGAGGAGAATGGAGGAGAAGGGATTGCGGTGTGGCCATCGCCCCTAAGGGGCTGATTTCTCACTTTTCCACTCACTGTCTTTGTCTCTCAATCTCTCTGGTGAGTATACATGACCTAAAGCAAAAACCTCTTAAAAACAAAACAAAACAAAACAAAAAATCACTTTGAAACATGGGGGGGGTCAATAGGTGGTGTGGTGATTAAGGCACTGGATTCTCACATGTCTGACTGTGGTTCGAGTCTTGGACCTGGCAGCTTGCTTTCTCACTTTCCCTTTTTTTCTTTCTCTCTCTGGTGAGTACACATGCCCGATAGTAAATATAATAATAATTATAAATACAATTAACTAACTAATTCTTAAAAAAAAATTAAAAAAAAGAAGAAGAAAAACTTTTGAGGCACATCTTGGCCATTGAGAAATAGCTGCGTTTAACCATGTCAAGAACCATGAAATCTACTCAAGGTAAAAACAATAAATTATAAAAATGCTGTTAAGCTATTTCTCTACAAAATGAATATCACAATGGTCTAAGGACCTCGAGTACCATCACAGGGCACAAGTTGAGCATGTATCTGCATAGTCTGCTGTCCACAGGTCCACATTCTTGTCCGGGACCTGAGTAGGAGAATGAATATATTTCCAGGTAAAACCAGCCTGGCGGCATGAGTCTCCTGAAAGGTTTTATAGATGATGTGCTAGTCTCACAAGTTGATCCTACGTATTATAAATTGCAAGGAAAAACTATGGTTCTTTGCATAAAATGTGAATGCTTTCCTGTAATCTATAGAAATAAAGCCAATGATTTGAACCTAAAAACAAGAGGAAACAGAGAGAGGAGAAGCAGGATGAGAAAGTGTGGAGAACACATAACACATGCAGATAGAGTGCCTCCAATCTCTGGGTGGCCCATCTCTACACTCTAACTGCTACCTTCCCTCCATCACTATCCCCTTCTGGTGTGGTGTCAATACTGCCAGGTTGGTAATAGTTAACATATACTTCAGTTTGCCTCTCCTCTAGAAGCAACTGGGAATTCCACTTTACGGGGCTTTGGAAACACAAGGTCTCTCTTGGTATTTAATACAGCTAAAGGCATTTTGCAGCAAAATTCTACAAAACTACTGCATGTCTAGGCTTGCTTATGCAATTATTTATGAGAAAGTATTGTGATATGAAGAAAGATAAAGGGATTATTCAGGAAATCATTATGCTTTTGTTAATAGGTTCATTTTCATGACCTTCACTTTAATTGTTCATGCCTCTGCCCTTTTCCAGCCACATTTGCACAAACTTTAAGAACAGTAATTACCACGTCTATCATACTTAAAGTATATAACCCAAATGAGATGCAGTTGTATGTGCTCTGCAAAAACGATCCAAATAAGCTGGTAAATTAAAACAAAGTGTACCTTGTAATCATGTGTCCCCAGCATACTTCACATGGCACTGAAGTGCATGAAGAGTAGTATATGTGCACACACACACACACACACACACACACACTCACACATACTCCATAGTGAATTCGGAAGTCATTCAACAGCACTGTTCAGCGTATTTAAAAATTGTGTTGAACAAAAGCCATTCTGCTGCATTCATTTGCAAAAGGATATAATTACTTGTTCTTTCAGTTTTCTAGATAAAGATGGCACATATGAAAAATAATAGGCTGTCAATACCCTAAAGGGTTAGCAGTGTGAACTCAACAAAGGCGTATATTTTAAGGCAACAACAGTTTATTTGTTTTTTGTGTTTTTTTTTACATAATATCTGTGGTATTTTGGGATCTCTTATGACATGAAAGCATATGTTTAAAATGCAAAATGAGTGTATTTATATTTTATTCATTTTTAAGTCCTAAAATGCTCCTAATCATAATTTCAAAATTAAAAAAAAAAACTATCACCAAGAGTAAGCTAACAGAGTAGACTCACTTAGAAAAATAACTCTAAAAAACACCTTCAGAGCTAGTTCTGACTCATACAATGCATATTCATTAGTTAACTCTTATCTTTGCACTTCAAAATAACTCGTTTATCAATAAAGCATCTATTGAGGAAGTTCTTCATATCGATCATCGTTTCAATATATTTTGCAAGAAAGAAAGAGGGATTTTTAAGTGCAAGATAAGTTTATCATTAACTATCCATTGCATCTAAATCTATGTGGAATATCTTAAATGCATGAATCTTACATGAAATTTTACTTGCTTCTGTTGTCTTTTAAAGTCAACCTCAGAAAAGGAACACGTGGAAGAAGAAGAAAGAGGAAGGGGAGGAGAGTGACGGAAAAGGAGAAATAGGGACAACGGTGACGTGTGAGAAGAGAATGACACTATGTGGTGTGCTGCTGGGTCCACAGCAGGCCCAGAAATGCCAACGCGATTGTGCAGATTTTGTTTATACTCTGTTTTATCAACTAAAATGACAAGAAAACACACACACACACAAATAGAAAAGTCATTGGAGGGGACTTCAAAAGTTGTTGCAAAAATTGAAATTACAAGATTATTTTCATGCCCAAATGTTTTGAAGTCTATTCATATTTTTTATCCCATAATATGTATGTGTGTGTATGTGTGTGTGTGTGTGTGTGTGTGTGTGTGTGTTTGTATTATTTGGTTGACTAAGAGGAGCGCTAAATGCTTTTAGCAATAGCAGGAAAGGAAAAAACAAATGGCCTCAATTTTGAGGAGCGTACTATAGTTAGGTTTTCATCCCAACACACCTGAAAGCTAGGGAATAGAACTGCTTATTCTCCATGTGTTCTTACCTTTATTGTCACCAAACCAGAGCACTAAAGCTGACAAGAACCACTGCCACAGGTGTCTACACTTCACAGTGCAGTTGCGTCATTCATGTTCCAGTATGCTTTCTTTTCAAATGTTTGTTTCCCACGCAGTTCATCATTGGATTGGGCACCGATGTCAGTATATGCCAGTCCTGTAAGGATGAGAAACCAGCAGCATTATAAGCAGGGAAGGACAAGAGAGAGCTCTAATACCTCTTGGTCAGAATGTAAGCGGCATCTTACTGAAAATGCAGCTTAGTGTATTCCTGGAAACTGGCAACCAACTTATCCCTCCCATCATTCAGTTGTTTTAAGGAAACAACTTACTGGCCAACAAAACTCTTCAACCAAACAGATACTAGCTTTTAGCAGAAATGACTGAAGCTTGATTAAGGCAGTTGATCAGGAAAATTAGTTCTGATGTGAAGAGGAAATGGGTGCTCAGGCAGCCTACCCTGAATACTAGAGGTTACAAGGTTCCCTGTTACTCCAGGAGATAAAACCCCCAAGTTACTATAGCAAGAGTGTAAGAGGATGAGCATAGAAAACCATCACAGGTATAAGTTAGATGAAATCTATCAGTGCTTTGTTACAGAAAGCACATATAAGGGTGTACATACTGAAGTCACACCAAAATTTAAGGACAGTGAGTAAGACTCTGCCATGTCCAGGACAATAATGGAGGACAAGTGACAAAGCAACTAAGATTAAGGGTACCAGGCAGCATTTTGGGTGCCCTGAAACACTTACAGAGGGACTAGGAGGCCAAAACTATTCATTGTAATGTAAGATAAACATTTTACATCATAGGGCATAAAATAGCATAAAAGCACAGCTCCAGGAGCCAGGAGCCACTGTCCTAGCCATGACTGAAGTCTTCACCACTACGCGTCCACCACAAACAACACAAAAACAATGCTCCTTGGGCTGGTCGGTGGAATCTTGGTTAAGGTAACAGGGTTCCACATGGCCAATGGCACGGCTCAAGTTCTGAACTGGCAGCTTGAAAAAACGCACCAGGCATGTGTGTACGTGTGCGGGTGAGTGCACAAATCTTGAGAAGAGACTACAGGAGACAGGACTGTGATAGGACCATCCTCCCCTAGGAGGAATTTCTTACTTTCTCTCTCTCCCTCTCTCTCTCTCCAGTGAGTGCACAGGCCCTATAGCAAAAACCAAAAAACTGAAACAAAACACAAAACTAAACAAAATGATAACAACAAAAACTTCTTCAACCAAATTGTGACCTTGAAGCAGGAGACAACGTTAATTCCGTGAAGGCTTCACCCTTGAATGCACACGTTTTTCCAATCCTGAGATGCCATGTAGCACTTATGCTGCATGCCGAGATGTAAAGTGTGATCCCTGACTCCAAGAGGGTTCTAGTCCCATCGTTTGACTTATGAAGTTAGCTGCCACTTTCTCATGGTTCTTTACTTCCCTTTTGGACAAAGACTGATGCAGTATGATTATTCAGAAATGAGGATCTGGCAGACATATTTTTTTTCTCTTTTTACAAACAAAGTGAACTTAAAGGAAACATATGACAGTACTTGTCAATTTTTAAAAAGTTCAATCTTTCAAGGAAAAGGTAATATTTTGGAAAATGTGTTGGCCACCATCAGCTTGAAGGCTTCTGTATTTAAGGTCCTTTCTTTTGAGCAGTGGTGGTATTAACAAGCAGGATTTGTATAATCACATGTGTCAACAATCAGAAAATCTGCAAGATTCAGTGTACATTTTCCAGATGACCAATGCATAATGCTGAGAAACTATTCACTGGTGAAGATTCGCTTAAACTGCGAGAAACACCAGTCAATCTTAATTGTAACAGGTAAGAAAATATCCATTGACTCTACAAGGCTAGCCATATTTTCCATCTGTTACTTGTGGCTTTTGGTGTCTTGTATAAGAAACTGGTGTTTTTTCCAAAATCATGCAGATTTTCATCTATGCTTCCCTCTAACAGTTTTATATTTTTAGCACTTAACTGAAGGTCTTTGATCCAATCCGTGTTATTTTTATATATGGAAAAAAGTAAAGTAAGTATCCAGATCCATTCTTTTACAGGTGGACTTGAGGTCTCTCCAGGATATGTTCTCTTTATAAAGTTTGCTCTTCTCTTGTGGGGTGGAAGAATGCAGAATAGCCCTGTGTGGTTGCTGTTTTTTCTGGTCAGCACATTTCTGCTTTCCTTTTTCCCTCTGCTAGACACTACCCTTCCAATACAGTCTGCTGTGCAGGGGGCTTGCACAGCCTACTGCAGCTGGGTTGGAGTTCTACCAGAATGGACTTTCCAAGAGAATGACGGGCTCCTGGAGCTACAGACCCTGTCATTTAAAATGAGGCAAAGAACTTGTAAAATACTGGACTTTATTGAAAAAGTATAACATCATATAGTATCTAGCTGTGAGCCATTTAGGTTTGAAGCACGACTGGGGAGATGTGAACACCCTCTAATTTGGGGCAATCAGAAGGAGGATCTCTATCTGGCCCAGCCTTCAATGGCAGAAATTCTGTTCTTGGCAACAATAACCATGAATAGCGATGCCAAAAAAATTGTAGATTATTCATAAAATTTGAAAAACTTGAAGATCCAAATTCTATATTTGGAACAAGACCTCTTAGTAAATGATTCATATTGGGCTGGCTTGATACCACAGTGGGTTAAACACGGTGTATAGGAAACTGGGTTGCACATGGCAAATCATGGTTCACATCTCTCACTGGCAGGTTAACAAACATGCCAGGCACACTCATGTGCATGTCACAAATCCTAAGGGAATAGAAAAATGGAGGAAAGAGTATTATTACATGACCACACCACTTGGGGTAGTTCTTTCTCCTTCTCTCTCTGATGAGTGCCTGTGCCCTCTTGCAAAAATAAGTAAAGGAATTCTATTATGAAAAAACAGTATTAATAAAATAAGGGTATAATAGAAAAGCAGCAGATGTATCCTACCAAAGTATTATATTTCATTTGGATTTTAGTTAATTTTTTTTTGTTCGTTTGTTTGTTTTTACATAGGGTGTATGCATTTGCTGGAGAGATAGAGAGCCAGAAAGAGGGAAGAATTAGAAATCACCCACAAAGGGAGATGGCCACAATGTAATTCTTTCTCCTTTATTCTCTTCTCAGGATTTTGGCCATGCACACCCAAGCACATGCACCCAGAATGATTTTCAAGCCACTAGATCCAGGACTCAAACTGCTGTTGACCATGTGGGAATCTGGATCCTTAACCACCAGGACACCCACTGGCCCTTATACTTCATTTTTTACTAAAATAGGAAAAAATGGGAAGATCTTGTTTAAAAAAACTTTGTTTCTTTCTATCTATCAAAAGTAAAATAATTTTTTTTTAAAAATCTCTGATACTACATCTACTTTATGTTGAAAAGACAAAAAGAAAAAAAAATTAACTATAAGCTGATGAATTGACCTTTGAGCTCATCTGGTCTAGATGAAGAGATTAAAAGCCAAAGGAGCCGTGTGATTCGTCCAGGGCGCATGAGCAGTGAGCTGCCTTGGTGCAGTAAGTTATGTGGATGGAGAACGAGAATAAGAGCCCGTTTTACTCTCACTTCCAAATCACATACTTTCAATTATAACATTTCTGCCTGTATTTATAGGACAAATGTATTTTTCTGCTTTTTTTCTTTCATGCATGGAACACTAAGAGATACCATCACAAGTCTCTTGTCTGAAAAGAAAGGCAAGAAAAGCAGCTACGATTTCTTTGGAAACACACAGCTAAGTTGAGTCTTATTTTTGCAAGATTGCAGATTTCTTTTGAATCAAAAATTATAGTTTCTAAAAATGGCTGAGTCTAAATTGTGCATATGATTTTTGTGTCATGTAATATTTTGAAAAATTACATTAAATGAAGAAAAATCTCTGTATTGAAAACAACTTAGCTTTTATAAAAGGAGTTTGGTCATATTTATTCATTTAACAAATATTTATGGAGTGCTTAGTATTTCTGCATATTTTAAATTCTGTATTATTTTAAAAAGTGTGAAACAGACATTTAGTTTAGTAAATCCAAGTAAAAATCAGTAAGAGTCCTACAGAGTGTCATGGATATAAGATTTATGAACTACATATTTAACATATTTTTGGATATTTCAATGATCTTGGTTAATACAAAAATGATATTTGAAGAATAGTACATAAAAGAAAAAATATTCTTTGTAATCTGTCATTTACTTTGTATTAATGATATAAACTCCTGTCAATATACTTTTTAAAATATATAATTTTGTCTCAAGATGCAACAGAGCTTAAAACTTAAAGTTAATATTGGATCGTCATTTACGATCTGCAGAATAATATTCTAAAATTCATTCAAAAATAGTATATAGGATGTTCACATTTTGTAAGAATTCTTAATTTCTCAAGACTTGGAATTATTCTGTAATAACACATCTGTCACAATGAGTTTTGACAAAGGATGGTCAATATAATATGTCATCTGCTGAAATAATGTCATAGAGTGTTAAAAAACATATACTCATTTCATATGTCACTTGGTTCACAAGGATACCATTCTATAAATAATGACGAATTTTTATAGATTGCAAAAAGACAGGAAAATCTATTCCTTTTAACACCTCTCTTGAAAATTGTATATTTCTTTCTTTCTTTTTTTTTTGGAAAGGTTTTTACTATAGGGCACATGCACTCACCAGAAAGACAGAGAGAGACAGACAGACAGAAAGCGAGAAATCACCGCATAGGGTGGGGTGGACTCCACAATCCCTTCTCTTCCCTTCTCCTCTCGGGATCTTGGGCATGCACGCACACATGCCTGGCGTGAGTTTTAAGCCACCGGGTCCAGGACACGAACCGTGGTCGGCTACATGGGAGTCCAGGGACATAGTCATTACGCTAACTGCTGGCCCCAAAAATTGTATATTTAAATCCTTATCAAACAAGAACTCCGCCTACAGCCACGCCATACTTTCAGCTATAGTCAACAGGTGATAATAAACCCTGAAGACAATGAGAAGGAGCCTACGGTAATCCTGCTGCAAACCCATCAGTTGTGTGATAGGTCTCCAGGCAATGTCTTATGTGGTAGCTTCTTTTCAAGGTACATCTTTTAGCTTTTCAAGCCAAAACTCTACATGGTACGGACAACCCAGATTT